TGAATGTATGGAATCGGTGAATTAGGTGAAGTGAGAGGCTGCCAGGCTCCCTCCCGCCCATGTGGCCATTAGCATGTAAACCCTCAGAGTCTGCTCCCTCGCTAACAAGTGGGGGATACCCATGCCGATTAAGGTGATGTTTGAACACTCAGCCAGGGCAAAGCCCAGCTAAGGTACTCAAGAAATACTAGGGTCCCCCTCCCCCTTCTGGGAGAGTAGGGACTTGAATATACAGAGCGAGGCGAGGCTGGCAAGGCCAGCACTCCGCGGGACAGCTGTGAGTTCCTAGGTTTCGGGGTCCTTAGCACTTCCCTGTGGCTCCTCACTGCAGTGAGAAACGTGTGTTTTCCTTCTGAGATGCTTCTGACACGCACGGAGAAAGGCAAACCAAGCCTACTTTTTGGTGGTAGAGACCCTTGCACAGTGAATTGCAACTACCTTCCAAAAGTCTTCCATCGAGGAGAGCGTTTTAAAGTTGGTGTTCTCCGTCTTGGACAGCGGGGAGTCGATGAAGAGCTGCGACATGACCCGGTTGTAGTAGTACACACTGGAGCTCACCATCCCGTAGGTCACTGGAACACAGGGAAGCCCGGTGAATGCCACAAAGGGGGCCAGCACCCGCGTACAAGTAGCTCGGTGCCCTCGACCAGCCGGCAGCCAGCATCCACTCAACACTGCTCTCGCCTCTCCTTCCTTCTCTCCCATCATCCTTTGTCATGCTGGCTAGTGGAGTCTTCTCAGATGAATAATTAACACCCTCCCCTGTCCGCCCCAAACTCAATGGAATTTAGTTGATTCTGACTCACAGCTATGCCATGAGACAAGGTAGGACCAGTCCCCCTCCACCCCCCACCCCCCGCCTCCTGCCCGCTGCCCCCCTGGCCCGCCCTTTCCATGAGTTTCTGAGACTGTAACTCTTTATGAGAGTAGAAAGCCTCATCTTTCTTGCTGGGAGTTGCTGGTGGTTTCAAACGGCTGACCTTATGACTAGCAGCCCAACACATCGTCCATGACATCACCAGGGCACATGCGTCTGTGTGAAATGAAGGGAGCCCTTGGGTGGCGAAAGCAGTTAAGGGTGGAAGTTTGAGACCACCCAGAACGGCTTCTGGAGAAAGGTCTGGTGGGACTACTTCTAAAATCTCTTTGCAAACCCTCTGGAGGCCAGTTCCACTGTGACACACACAGGGTCACTTCTTCAGGGCAATGGGGACGTGAGACACAAAACAGGCTTGCAACGGAGTATCACCTTTAGATCCATCCCTTGCTAGGACTCCTAGCACTTCCAGCCGTGGTGGTGTAGTGGTTACACTTTGGGCTGCTAACTGTAAGGTCAGCAGTTCAAAACCACCAGCCATTCCACACAGGAGAAGCCCACACAAGGGCTTTCTACTTCCAGAAAGAATTACAGTCTCAGAAACTCACAGGGCAGCTCTACCCTGCCCAATTGCATCACTAGGATACAAAGGCATTGGGAAACATGCATATTCAACTTCATCTCCCCAGACCCTGGATCAGCTATCCACGTGTTAGGCTGGCCCACAGAAGCCTGCACACAGGGGTTCAACTCCCGGGAGACAGCGCGTGGTGCCTTATGCTCCCTGTAGGAAGTATGACTCTCCACTCTTTGCCTCCACATCAGTTCTACCTTCTTCTCTGTGCCTTGAGAGTCAACAGGCACTGGGGACCAGAGGTGACGGGTGGGTTCATTTCCCATACCCCTACACTCCATTCTCTCACCACCAGAATGCAGTGGAGTGGTGAGTCCTCCAACTTGGCCACAGCTGCAAGGGGTGAGCTGGTTTGTCTAAAGGCAACAGCTTTTACTGTTCACACCATGCCCTTCTCATCACATCTACCCTCGCCTGCTCACTCACCCCTTCAGGCCTGGAGACGGCAGCCTTTCCTGGGTGCCTCCTCTTTGCATGTTGATTCCCCGATTCATGACACACCTCCAAAAATAGCCCCTTATTATATTTTCCTTAATTATCATTCTGAGTTCACCATCTCTTTCCTTCTAGGATCCTTCCTGGTATCGGCCCATCTGTTTCCCACTGGCCTTTCACATTGACCTCAAGCTACACCCCTGTCATGGAGACTTTGTCCAAATGGTCCTGGGAATTGAGTTACAGACTCCTGGGGTCCAAGGGCAGCCGTGCCCCATAGTTGCTGTGTGACCTGTGAATGATGCTTAAACCTCCTGAGCTTGCATCTTCTGTACGAGGGGGGTGATGACCTATTCCAAAGGATTTGGGGTGCTTAAATGGGAATTAAAAATTACTTCTGCACAGGCACTCCACAGGGGCCCGGTGACCTTGCGTCCACTCCTGAACTGGGATGCTGAAACACAGCGGTCACAGACCGCAGCCTTCTACCAGCTCTGTCTTATGCCGGACTCTTGGTGACTGCAACTAGAAAGCATCATCCCCATGTTAGCTGACAAAAGGCTTCAAGAGGAAAGGAGATGTGCTTTATAGTTCCTTTCAACACAGCTTCTGACGCAGCTCCATAAAGCTCATGGATTTAGTAGAAACCCAAAGGAGCGGGTCAACTCTGCCCTCTAGAGCCGCTCAATGGAATCGGGTCCAGGACAGTGAGGTTGGTTTTGTGGTTTGAGTTGAATATTTCCTTCAGATAGCTCCTTTCCCCTCCTAAGCCAAACCAAAATGAACACACTCCAACCCCCATGACTATTGAGTCAATTCCGACCCCTGTCAAGCTTATAGGGCAGAGTCTAAATGCTCCCTGGGACTCCTGAGGCTGGACATCTTTTCAAGGGAGCAGGCTGCTTATCTTTCTTCCAAGGAGCAGCTGGTGGGTTTAAATGGCCAGCCTGCAGGTTGGCAGTCCAATGCACAGACCGCTAAGCCACCAGGGCATCTACTGAGCATCATCAACATGAGATTGTTACAGGCAAGAGGTACGCAACACAGATCCAAACCCCGGTGTGACTGGAAGTCCATCTCCAGCAACCAGGCTGCAAATAGACTGAGATTGTTCTGGAGTTGTGTTTTCAACCTGCAGGGTGTTTTGGTTTGTTTTTTTTAAGAGGTGGCAGTGATAGTTTTGTAAAAAAAGTAATTTTGAAGAGTTGCTTAGATTTTTCTTAAATTTAGAAATTATAATACAGATATATGTGGAAATGCATATGTAAGCTTTGTAACCACTGGTTTTTAAAGTTTATGCCTTTTATTTTTCTATTGTGCTCAAGGCTCAATATTGATTTTTGCTTTTTGAAATTCTGAGGACCTGTACTGGCGCTGGTGGCCTAGTGGGTTACGTCTTCGGCTGCTAACCACAAATCCAACAGCCACTCCACAGGAAAAAAGATGAGGCTTTCTATTCCCGTAGTAACAGTTTGGGACACCCACAGGGGGCAGTTCCACTCTATCCTATGGGGGTCACGGGAGTCAGACTCCACACCAGTGAGGTGCTGGGTTTTTGGAAAGAGCGCAGGTCCTTAGACTTCATCAAAAGGCAGCGACAGATCCTCTTAGCTATGTGGTGCCATCTACTGGACAATTTAAGAAACAGTGACATCAAGTTTAAAAAACAAAAAACGAACCAAGCCCACTGCCATTATTAAGGAGATTCCCACCCATAGTGATATTTCAGGGCAGAGGAGACCTGCTCCGCAAAGGCTGTAAATGTTTCCAGGAGCAGGAAGAAATCCGTCTCTCCTCTGTGCCCCCCGGGAGAGGGGGAGGCCCCCCCACAAGATTATTTCTGAATGTTGATGATGGTTCCCATACTGCGAAAGTCAGACCATTTGCATTTCAGCTTCAGCTTTGTTTCACAGTGAAAATCTGTCTCTATATAGTTCTTGTTTTAATACCAGAGTTTCCATTTCCCATAAATAAGTTGGAATAAAAAAATATTAAATTGCAGTATCACCAAATATCCCAGCATTATTAACAAAAAGATAACTTAAAAAAGGCTTATCGCTTTACGCAATTGATGTATGTGTGGATTGTGATGAGAGTTGTATGATCCCCTAATAAAATGATTTTTAAAAAAAGGCTTATCATTTCAAAATACTCAACGCAAACTTTATTCTTATTACTGTTGGGAAAAAGGGGAAAAATGGGTTCACATGCTAAAAACAGGTAAAAGATTATGAAATCAAATCTATTGCATGAATTTGACTTAAAAGGGCAAAATATATATCTCATTGTGGAAAAGAAACAAGAAAATTAAAATATCAGAAAAGCATAGAAAAAGAAAAGTGAACAGAGATCAGTTGAAAATATAAACCATTAATGAGTAAAGCTTCAGTACTAGAAGACAAAGTCTTAAAGCGGAGCTTAAAAAGAAGGTAACTCAAAGCATTTTATAAGAGACACAAATAAAATGAAGTTAAAAATAAAAGAATTAACAAATAATAAATGAGGGACGTTTGCTTTTTAAAGGTTTAAGTTGCACTATAATCAGCTGGCTAAAGAGATGGTAAGGTGGAAATAAATTAGAAAAACGTATTTTATATTGATAAATGATACAATACAGTTATTCAATTAAAATGCATTCCTATGTACTGAATAACAGCACAACAATATATGAAGCAATGCTGTTTTTAACACAAGAATTATCAAGACCCCAATTGTGCTTGGAAACTTTAATGTATATCAGTCTTTAATAAGGTAGATTTTAAAAAATGATCAAAGGCTATCAAAGGTCAGAATTGAATGATTATTCAGCATGACAATGTCAGCATAAAAGTTCATGCTGTATGAAAAGGGACCCCTGGTTCTTATTCAATATTTACATCTACATCTACATTTACAAAAACTGGTCATATGCCAGGCCACAAAGAGACCATCCAAAAATCCCTAAAATTTAAAACTGACCAGTCAACATTTTAAAACTATAGATCCAGAAAGTAATGCACAAGAAACAAATTCCCCACATGCAAAATTTAGAGGTAAGAAATGCATTTTTCCTAATAATCTTTGCACCAAAGGGGCCAGCAAGGTGGTCATACATTACAAATGTCCCACGTACAGAGACATCAGAACCAAGGTGCCAAAATGCACCACATATAGAAGTATCAGAGCCAAGCTGGCCCAGTGTGCCATCACTCTGAACAATAAACCCAACCTCTTTGTTAGTTCCATGTTGTACCATATCTTCACAGGGCTGCTGTGGAGACAAAGGGTACATTACTTGAATACAATCTATACTCTGTAAGGTGCTATACATAAGTGCAACATCCTAACACCAAACCCAACCCATTGTTATTGACCTGATTCTCACTAATTGCAGCCTTAATGGACAGGGCAGGACTGCCGGTAAGGTTTCTTTCCAAGGCTGTGGTCTTCATGGAAGCAGATTGCCATGCCTCTGTCCCCAGAGGGGCTGGTTGGTTCAATGGGTAGGTCTGAATAGCTGAGCTTTCAGTTAGCACCTGAGTGATCCACTACTGTGCCATAACCAAAACTCACTGGCAGTGAGTCGACTCATAGTGGCCCCATGTGGAATTCCAAGACTGTTTACGGGAGTAGAAAATCTTATCTTTTTCTCTCAGAGCTGTTGGTGGTTTCGAACTGCCGACCATGCAGATCACAGCCCAGCCCAT